CCCACCCCACCTCAAACCACCCCACCCCCTCCCCTCCCCACCTACACCATCACCTCTATCGCTACCTACACCCCACCAACCCACTAACGTGTCATAACTGCATTACGCACCTGTTAATTGCCTCGTTCACCTGCGAGCCCGCTGCCAACCTGCCACCTGTCATAGTGGCTTCCATTCAACAGAGCAGCCACCATATGGTCCACCCCCTCCCCCTCCCCCTCCTCCTCCTCTGTCTTCTCCGTTGCCAGAGCGCCCAGTAGACCGTGGTAGAAGGGAGGAAGCCGGGAGCGAAAACGGGAAGTGCGTGAAAGGGGAGGCCCGTACCGTCTCTATGTGATGTAGACCAACTGTCACCTAGCTACTCCCGCGTGTGTGAAGGAAGGGAGGAAGGGCCTGGACCGTCTCTCCGGGACACTGCCACCACTGCGTGCGTGGGTTAGGGATAACAAGAGGAGGTTCTGTGAGACTTGTGTGTAGCAAAGGTCGGTCTGGACCGCTGCTCCGGGTCCTGCACCACTACGTGTGTGGTTGGGATTAACACGTGAGACTTGTGTGTAGCAAAGGTCTGGACCGTCTCTACGGCATGCTGAACCACCGTCACTACCACCGCGTACATGCATTAGAGCCAGCTTGGACCGTCTCTACATCTCTACATACTCTCCTTGTCCATTCTCTGTGGCCGGTGCAGCTGTCCGGCTAAACGCCCGTCGCTGGTGGTGTGTGTTGTGTGTGTGCGCGCGGGGTCCGTCTGTGCGTGTGCGAGCGTGGTCGGCGGTGCGTGTGCCGAGTGTGGCGTGTGTGTGTGGTGTGGTGTCGTGTTGGCGTATGTGCTGCGTGCGTGTGCGTATGTGTTGTTGTGGAGGCCTGCACCGACGCTATACGGGGGTGAGCTGCACTCGTAACCACGTGTATTATGTGTGTTGTGTGTTATCTGTGAGAGGGAGTTCAACATGCTTATTACTCGATGAGTAAAGTTGATCAGTAAAGTCAACGATGAGCGAGAATCAGTGACTGGCTTCCGTTTCTCCGAGAAGATAGAGTAGGAGCATCGCCAGCTTCCTCCATCAGTACCACCGATGTGAAGTCGTGAACGACGGTCAGAGAGAGAGAGAGAGCTTTCCACGTAACATCTTCATCCTGAGTGCGTCAGCTTCCCCCATCAGTACCACCGGTGTGAACGACAGTCAAAGCGAAGGCTACGCGCAATAGCATCCTCATCCGGAGTGCCTCAGCTTCCCCCATCAGTACCACCGGTCAGCGGCACGCATGCCGGTAGCCGTCGCCGCGTCGCCGGCGCCCCCTCGTGGCGCGCGGGGCGGCATCCGCGTCCGCGTCGTCGCGCCGACGCACGAAGAGTTCGTCTGCTTGCTGCGCGCATGCGTCGAGGTAACGTCAGAGGTGGCGCCACGTGGCGTCAGCGTCGCGCGCGCGCGTGTTGTCATGGTTACCGTTGGCGGTGACCGCTGGAAGGAGACGAGGGGATGTGTGTGTGCGTGCGTGCGTGCGTGCGTGCGTGTATGCGTGTGTGTGCGTGCGTGCGTACGTCCGTGTGTGTGTGTGTGTGTGTTTCAAGATCACTGATGCTGTGCATCTATCTGCTATCTATGCTATACTGCAGATCTATTATCTATGATATATGATATATGATATATGATATATGATATATAATATATGATATATGATCTGATTTATTGTCAGTATGATTATCTATGTAACGCCTGACAGCCCGCAACCGCAGCTGATCATATGTCTGTCTGTCTGTCTGTCTGTCTGTCCATCTATCTATCTGTCTATATGCAATGCATATATATATATATATATGTATATATATATATGCCATGCAGCAGCAGCAGCGAACCCTGCCACACCACGCAATACTATGCTATACTATACTATGCTATGCTATTCCATACTATTCTATGCTATGCCGTACTATTCTATGCTATGCCATACTATTATATGCAATGCTACGCTATGCAATCCTATGCTATGCTATGCCATTCGATGCTATGCCATGCCATGCCATGCTATACTATGCTATGTGACGCTATACTACCANGACTGCTAGGCTATGCTGGCAGTAATGGCTGGCCTGCCACGCTGTGCTGACTGCTGCAGCCTGCTAGGCTATGCAGGCAGTAATTGCTGGCCTGCCACGCTGTGCTGACTGCTGCAGCCTGCTAGGCTATGCAGGCAGTAATGGCTGGCCTGCCACGCTATGCTGACTGCTGCTGACTGCTAGGCTATGCAGGCAGTAATGGCTGGCCTGCCACGCTATGCTGACTGCTGCTGACTGCTAGGCTATGCAGGCAGTAATGGCTGGCCTGCCACGCTGTGCTGACTGCTGCAGCCTGCTAGGCTATGCAGGCAGTAATTGCTGGCCTGCCACGCTGTGCTGACTGCTGCAGCCTGCTAGGCTATGCAGGCAGGCCAGCCATTACTGATAGCGTGGAGGCAGCAGCAGTCAGCGCTAGGCTATGCAGGCAGTAATGGCTGGCCTGCCACGCTATGCTGACTGCTGGCCTGCCACGCTATGCAGGCAGTAATGGCTGGCCTGCCACGCTATGCTGACTGCTGCTGACTGCTAGGCTATGCAGGCAGTAATGGCTGGCCTGCCACGCTATGCTGACTGCTGCAGTATGCAGGCAGTAATGGCTGGCCTGCCACGCTATGCTGACTGCTGCAGCCTACCACGCTATGCAGGCAGTAATGGCTGGCCTGCCACGCTATGCTGACTGCTGCTGACTGCCACGCTATGCAGGCAGTAATGGCTGGCCTGCTAGGCTATGCAGGCAGTAATGGCTGGCCTGCCACGCTGTGCTGNGAGTCGAGACAGAGAGATATACGTGCGTGTAGGTGGATGAGGAATCTCACACGCTGCTAAGCTGCTGCTGCATTAATCTCTCTCTACAGGTACCCAGGTGGCCAGGTGTTATATCAGCAGGTGCGTGCGTGCGTGCGTGCGTGCGTGCGTGCATGTAGAAATATATGTGTGCGTGTGTGTGTGCGTGTGTGCGTGCGTGTGCGTGTATCATGCACTCACCAACCGCAATCATGGAAATCTCGTATGAATTTTTTATCCTCGTTGTTTGCCCATTAGTACGCCGTTATAGTGGCGGGCGCCGGCAGGGGAAGTCGGAAGCTTGTAGTGGGAGAGCCGGCAGGAGCTGCTGGAAGCTGTATAATATGTACAGCCTGCAGGTTACGATTACAGATTATGCATATAAAGCTGTGGTAAGCTCTCTCTCTGTCTGTCTGTCTCTCTCTGTCTCTCTCTCTCTCTCTCTCTCTCTCTCTCTCTCTCTCTCT